TAGATTTTCATAGAACATGTGTATTAGGCTCTACCTAGCTTCTGTGTGTTTCTGATCTGAGACGGTAGAGAATATATTTCAGCTCCTCTGCTGCTCTCTGCTCCTGGCAAAGTGGATGGCCTCAGGACCACATTGACAACTCTCGCCCAGCATTGGTCTCCTGACATCAGCTGAGCTTTGCCAGTTTATGCTTAAGGTCTGCACTGGTGCTTTCTCCTGCTCCTTCTTGACTGAGGGGTAGTAAAACCCTTTTTCGCTTGTGTCAAGTAGTTTCTGTGAGTGTCTGGGCTCAGTAGTTGCACGGCCTTTACGGATTGAGAATTAAAGAGGATGACCAGTTCCTTCAGTGGAATAACTTAGGCTTAAAATACATTTTAAAAAAAATAAAAATGGGTTCTGCTAGTTCTGTTGGCCAGCAAAAGGAAGGCTGCAGCTCTCTCCTCTTCCTTCAGTGACGGCATTAGTGGAGTCTCTGTTTAAGTTCTCTGGGACTGTTTAAGTTCTCTGGATCGCCATGGCCTTGTGCTTTCCAGCTCAGGGGAGGAACACGGACTGTCTCATCTTTGCTAGGACTTTTAGCTAAAGAAAATGGGATGTCTTGCTTTGTGAAACCAAGACTGGAATGAGACGATTAAGGGGAAGGATCTTGAAGTCCAGGACAATAGTGATCATCACTGCTATGGTTAAGAACATATAAAGTACTAAATAAAATTGCAGGAGAGGGAGGAAAGTCGGAGCAGTTTTGACAAGAAGTCTTGGTTATGTCTGGGCACCTGAATGGTGCTCTGGCATCCCTGTGTAAATGAAAACCAGGAGGAGAAAGGAATGGAAAAAAGATGATGGAAAGCACTGCTTTTTCAAAACGTACAGCTTGCGTGGGTGTCAGCATCCATGGGGTGGCACGGCGTTTCAGAGAAGTTTGCCAAGCAGACCCATCATTCCTTTTTCTTGCCTTGTCTTGTCCTTTACACACAATGGGCTTTGTCCTGGATTTGAAGAGCTGTGGGGAGACAGTGCTGCTCCTTGGGGGGGACTTGTACTGCTGGAAAGGAGCCACCCAAGCTTCAGAGCAGTGGGCAGTAGTCAAGCACCTGCTGCCCTTTGAGAGCTAGGAGCTACCAGAGACTGCTAAGTAGGTAAAGTACTGGCTCCTTAAACACGGAGAAGGCTACCTTCCAGATGAATAGACAGAAAGGTCACTCGAATTATACAGTGAGTTGGCTCCTGCAGCTTGGTGACGTTTTCAGATGGGTTTCTGAGCAGTCACCCAGGTGGTGTCTAAGCAAATCTATCTAGACTCTCTGCCTCAGCCCTTAAAACACAGAGGAAGGAGAAAAATGCTTATCTCTGGCATGTTCAGAAGATGACGTGCTTTGCTGCCTTCCTCCGCTCGGCTTCCCAATCAAAGAAGGCAGGTTTTTCCCTTTCTGACAGCCTCATGCTGTCTGAACTCAATAAGGACAGCTTCAGAGCGGTGGTTTTTCAGCCTGTTTTGGGTCTGAATAAGCAGCAGATGTGGGCAGCCGTGTGGAGGAATGAAACTTCTCGACAGTAGGTTTGTTTTTTCTGCAGTTCTTTTTGTGTGCTGGGGAGGTACCTCTGCACTCCAAGGTGGGAGACAGGTAGGACCCCCCCCACTTTAGTATTTGGAGTTTTGCACCCACCCCCAGCCATCCATTTTACTGTTGCGTGTTAATGTCTATTTGCATATTGGCTGGCCTAAAAAAAAAAGCATATGTACCAAAAAAAAAAAGGCACCAAATGCAAAGAAAAAACAACCACCCAACCAGCAGCATTTCCCACTGTGCTGGGTTTAATCAAAAATACTGAAAATTGCTCAAGCATGGAAACAATATTTACCTTAACCTGAGTCAGTTTGAAATTACAGTGTAACCACAAAGGGTATTACACAGAATCTTCATGGTTGGAAGGGACCTTTGAGATCATTGAGTCCAGCCATATGCACAAAAAAACCCAAAAACCCCAACAATCTTGGGCACTAGAGCATGCCCTGAAGTGCCACGTCTACATGTTTCTTAAATCCCTCCAGGGATGGTGACTCCACCACCTCCCTGGGCAGGCTCTTCCAGTGCCTGACCACCCTCTCAGCAAAGTCATTCTTCCCAATATCTCATCTAAACCTCCCCTGCCCCAACTTCAGACCATTTCCTCTGGTCCCGTAAGTGTGGATTGATTCTCTGTCCATGTGAAGAGCTGCAAAGAGCAAGGACTCAAGCTCAGCTGAGGCTCAGAGTTATGATCATAGAGATAGTAATGTTATTGCATAAGTAATAACAATAATAGCAGCTATGGAAGAGTTTAGAGCTTCAGAACCACTTACAAATACAGTTTGCCCTTGGCTTATATGTTTGCGTTCTTCTGTATGAGTGTGGAAGCTTATAAACTTCTGTTTTGAAGTAAGATGAATGTAAAAATCTTGGCGTGATCTTATTTTGGTAATAGGATTGCGTGCAGACACCCTTGTGGTTAAATTTAAAAAAATAAAAAAAAATTACTAATGTTAGATTTCCTGTGAAGGGGTTGTTGTTTGCAAATGTAATGATTGATGACTGAGACTAGAGTTGCAAACACAACTGCAAGATTTTGCTCATAAATGTCTAATGTAACACTTCTAAAATCCCTGGGTTTTTTGCTTGGAATTGAATTTGATGTTGTCGTTTAAAAGGATAGAACTTGGAAAATCGAATTGTTATTCTAATTCCTTTTTGGGTTTTTGGGGTCTTCCTCTCCCGTAAGTCAGGTGCAAATTTCCATTGCAGAACTCATTGAAAGAAAACTTTTTTTTTTATTTTATAATTTAAAAATTCTTCTTGTGTGGCAGCCTCTAGATTGCTTAGAATAGCCAATATCAAATACCAAAAAAAAATCTTTAAAGTGTCTGATGCTCCCCAGAGTGGAACAATCCTTCTTGTGCGTGTGGTGAGTGAGGACCCAGCTTAACTGATTGAGTAGCTCCTGCAAACCCACCCGCTCCCCTGGACTTTAGTTTCTTATACCATTGGTGCAATTGAGTTATTTAGACAGATTTTTAAGTAAAGCAACACGGATCATGATGCTTCAGTGCCTCGTGAAGAATCTATTCCTTTAGATGTGCTGATTTACAAAGAAAGTTTGATTATTGGGGTTTTTGCTGCCCACCCCCACCTTCTCCGGGTGCTGGTTTTTCTCTTCTCTTGCTCATCCTCTCCTGTTTAGCTTTCACAAGAATGCAGAATTCAGGACTTTTCTTTCAACCTTTAAAGTCTGCAGACTCTGCCCGGAAAAAAAAGCCTGGTTCCCGAGCTTCCTCTCATGGCTACTTTTTAACCAGAATCAAAGTGGAAAAATGTAACCTTTTCTAGTGCTCTTGTGGTAATGACCTCTGGAAAGGGGGTCAATAACTTAAAGCTCCATGTTAAAACCAAGAGAAAAATGTTTCTTTTCTCCTACTTTTGCCTCTCGCCCCCTTCCAGTACTTGTGCTTGTCAGGGCTGGCCGTTTAACCCTTTTTTTTTTTCCTTTTAAGCTTGTTGATGCCCACTTGGAAGGCATTAGAGGGAAGCAGAAGCGTGTGTGTGCGTGGGGGGGTGTGTGTCTGTGTCAAATCTGGTTGTTTGCCTTTTTTTTTAAGTCTCTGCATTCTCTGTCCCAGCTGAGAATGCAGCTTGTTTTGCTCAAGCTCCATCTGCACCCATGCTGCTAAACTTGTTTTTCACTGCTGTTCTCTGCCCTTTATATATAAACTTCTACTTCTATTGAATAAAAATCTTAGTCAGTAATGTTTTGCATCTCCAATATTTGCCATAACTGAGAACTTCCAACATAACTACCTACTAGGTGGTTGGTAAATGTGTGAGTGAGAAGAGTTAGGCTGCTTAAATCACAGAATGCTATGGGGTTGGAAGGGACCTCTGGAGATCATCTCGTCCAACCCCCTGCCAAAGCAGGTCCACCCAGAGCAGGTTGCACAGGAACGTGTCCAGGTGGGGTTTGAATGTCTCCAGAGAAGGAGACTCCACCACCTCCCTGGGCAGCCTCTGCCAGGGCTCTGCCACCCTCAAAGTGAAGAAGTTCCTCCTCACGTTTAGGTGGAACTTCTTATGTTCATGTTTGAGCCCATGAAATTACAAGCTCACCACCCAAAATCTTAGAAGGGCTTTTCAACCATGGAACTTGATTCCTGTTTAGTTCAGAAGTTTGTTCATGAATTTCTGGCTTGACTTGGTTGTGACTTTAGAGGAACTGTACTAACCAGCTGGAGGTCACCCCCGTGATATTTCTCATTATGTGTACACGTTCTAGTTCTGCATTGTTATTTTTTTTGGGGTGTTAAATTGCTCATTCAGCTTCCCTGGTAGTGGAAAATGCAATTTCTCCCAAACTGCATCTTCAGTTGGACATGACTCTCAGAAGACTTAATTGCATTTTAGAAGGTTTTTTTTAGGAGGATGTTTGAGGGGGGGTGGTGGTGTGTTTGTTTTGGTGAATTTTTGTGCAGGAGCGTTTTGTTGTTGGGTTTTTGTTTTGTTTTGTTTTTTACATTCATGTTAATATGTTTTTTTCCCTTCTGGGTGACTTTTAATTTTTTATTTTTATTTTTTCCCCTCCTGGTCAGCTCCATTAAACACTGAAATATTTGAGTGGATCATAGTGACATCTAACATTTTGCTCTATTTGTACTTCACGCTGAGGTCAAGAAAACAAACAAAGCGATCGTTATGTTTTAGCATTCTTCTTTAATGAGCACATTAAAATCTACTCAGATCAGCTGTGAGGAGAAGGGAGAAACACGAAACTCCAAGGAGCACTGTCTTTTTGGAGTAATTTATGGAAAAAATAAGAGACTAAAGGGATATGTAAGGACTCTGGTAGGAAGTAAATGGCACCGTGTTGTTGACGGAAAGGGGTTTGGCAGAAGGCTTGTTGTGACTGTTTCTGTGGCTTAGAAAGGAATTTCCTACAGACTGGACTAACCATTAAAAAAATGTTTCTACTTTTAGGAGTTCAAGGCATAGAGTGGAGTCTTCCCGGGGAAGATGTCGTCTTTGACAATGAAAGCCCGTTGTCTGGATAAAAGAGGAAGTTTCTTTAAGGTAAATGGGATATTTATACAGAACATTAAGCACATGGTTTTATGTGCAACGAGTGCTGCAAAATGTGCAGTACAGTCTGTGATCTCTAGCAAGCCTTTTCTGTAAAATAGGAAGCACCACACTGGGCATCTCTCTTTACAGGTGGTATTTGTCGTTAGATTACCACTCATTTTTTTTTTCTTCTGTATGTTGTTTTCCTGTATGCAGAGTAGAGTATTTGGTGCAAAACAGCTTGTGGCTTTCTTTGCCATTAATGCTGAGAATGTAAGCTTTATTATGCACAGGCATAAATTAATAGAGCTTTCTTAAACTGGATTTGTGTAGTTTAAAGTTGCAGTACAGGTTTATGATTTCCATTTTTGAATTGAAAAATCTGTTTTGTTTCCTTGTCTGTTTTAGGGGAAAAATGGCAGGGGCTCCTTGTTCATGTGTAATCTGAACACTCATAAAAATACTTTATTTGTATTTGCGATGTATATTTCAGTCTTTTTTTGTGTGTTTTGGTGGTTTTTGCTTTGTTTGTGGATTTTGTTTGGTTGGGTTTTTTTTTTTAAAAACCTAAGTGCATCTTGTTTGAAATGAACGAGAAGCTGGTGCTGAGCTCACTGCCACGCTCTCAAAAATCCAGCAGGGCAGATGGCTGTGTCTTCAGGTGCCTACATACTTTAAAGGAGTCTAATGCTTCCTCCCTTAAGATACTCAGCCTGGCTCGCTGCTGATACAGGCACTGAGAGCTAGTAGTTCTGTTCTGGCATGGACTCGCTTATAGAGAGAAAATAGAAATAATTCCAAATAACTCCATTTAGTGTTTCTTTGTTCTGGGGGCTGTCTTAAGATGTCACGTGGCTTATGACACATCTAATGCATCACGTTGTAGTAAGAAATACATTTGAGGTGAGAGCCCTTTTCTCTCTTCTCCCCACCGCCCAGTTCTGTTCCATCACAGGACAGGGCTGATGCATGGCAATGAGCCAGGAAGGTGACATTCCCCTGGGAGCACAGGCATGGATGGAGGCCTCTCCAGACTTGAGGTTGGGGCTCAGTTGCAGGGAGGTAGAACCCTCAGTTTTCACTGAATTTCTAGAGTTGGAAGGGACCATAGAGATCATCTAGTCCAACTCCCCTGCTGAAGCAGGATTGCCCAGAGCTAGAGCATGTTACTCAGGAGCATCCAGGCAGGTCTTGAAAATCTCCAAAGAAGGGGACTCCACAACCTCCCTGGGCAGCCTGTTCCAGGGCTCTGTCACCCTCACCGTGAAGAAGTTTCTCCTCATATTTGAGTGGAACCTCTTATGTTCCAACTTGTGCCCGTTGCCCCTCGTCCTCTCAGTGGGAACCACTGAAAAGAGTCTGGCTCCCTCCTCCTTCAACCCACCCTTGAGATACTTGTAGGCGTTGATAAGGTCTCCCCTCAGCCTTCTCTTCTCCAGACTAAAGAGCCCCAGCTCCCTCAGCCTTTCCTCATCAGGGAGATGCTCCAATCCTTGAATCATCTTTGTTGCCCTTCGCTGGACTCTTTCTAGTAGTTCCCTGTCCCTCTTGAACTGGGGAGCCCAGAACTGGACACAGTACTCCAGTTGTGGCCTCCCCAGTGCAGAGTAGAGGGGGAGAATGACTTCCCTTGACCTGCTGGCCACACTCTTCCCTATGCAGCCCAAGATACCATTGGCCTTCCTGGCCGCAAGAGCACACTGTTTACTCATTGTCATTTTACTGTCCACCAGGACCCCTAGATCTTTCTCTTCAGTAGTTGCCTCTAGCGGGTCCACCCCTAACCTATACTGGTACCTGACATTTTTCTTCCCCAGGTGCAGGACCCTACACTTTTCCCTGTTGAACCTCATGAGGTTCTTCCTTGCCCAGCCCTCCAGCCTGTCCAAGTCTCGCTGGATGGCAGCACAGCCCTCCGGGGTGTCAGTTGAAGCACCTTCAGATACTCCCTGGAACTCTTTTTAAAAATGTGCATTCCCCTGGGTGTCACGCCCAGGGCAATATCTGATATTTGTAAAAAATATCTGATTTTTGTCCCCCTAACCTCATTGCAGCTGGAAAATGGAACCTTGAGAACCGCATGAGAAAGCGTGTGCTTCAGGTTGGCTGCCTGCTGTCATTAGGTTTCGTGCATCTTCTGTGCTCATCCCTTCTATGTAGTTCTTGACAGAAGTGATGTATAACTAAACTTGATGACTTAATTTTGCTCTTCCACGGTATTTCCTGTAGAGTTAACTTGCGCCATTGGCCCCAGATGTGCTCAGCAGGAGTAGCTTAGCTCAGGCATGAAGAATCACGCTGCAAAAGTAAGCATGGGTCACAGTGTCCTCTCTTCTGCCCCACACTCTGAGGTTTGTTAAGGCTTTGGGAGGGAGGGGTTGTCAGTCAGAGCCTTTTGGGGCTGTGCTTCCTAGGGGAATGTGCTTTGGTCTCTTTATATGACAGAGAGACTTCGTGCAGTGGACAGACTTTGGAGAATGATCATCTTTCAGGTTGGCATCACAAAAAGCTGAGGTATAGCAGGAGTTATCAGTACAGTTTTTCAAAAGACGACAGAATCCCTTTATCTGTGTTTTAATTACCTATAATGGAGGAGGTCGGGAGGCAGTGCTGAAGTTAATTGTAGAAAAGGCTGTTATTAACATTTTCTTCTAGGAAAAATAAGGATTAGTTGACCTGAAATGCAGTTCTGTTGCTGCTCGAATCTTACCCTAATGCCTGGGTGGGTGTTCTAGCAGATGATAAATAGCCTCATGATAGGCTACTGGCAAAGGAGACCCAAGCAAGTGGTGGCTGGTGCTTGTAGGGCACAGAGAGCTATATTGACCACTGGTGTAGTGTGCAAGACCAGTTTCTGTGTCAGCAGCTTCATAGTGCTGTCATAGCGACACACGTACACATGGAAGTGTTTGTTTCATGTGGTGCATGTTTTCTTTATCTTAAGGCAATCCTACCAGGCCAGTCTTTGGTAAACAAACGCTCAGTGCTGCAGTGACAGTATGCTTTTCTCTTTGTCTCACCCAGAGCTTCATGTGGTCAGCAATAAACAGGGTCTTCCAGGGACAGAAACGGCTTCTCAGTTTTGCAACACGCTTTTGTTTTGTTTCATATCTCGTAAGTAGAAACATCAGCCTTGTTTGGCAGCCCACAAACGAATAGGGAGAATGGACGTTGCCTCTCTTTCCCCATCTGGAGTACTGTGCCCAGTTCAAGGACAGGGAACTCCTGGAGAGGGTACAGTAGAGGGCTACAAAGATGATGAGGGGACTAGAACATCTCTCTGCTGAGGAGAGGCTGAGGGACTTGGGTTTTTTTAGTCTGGAGAAGAGAAGGCTGAGGGGGGATCTGATCAATGCCTATAAATACTTAGTGGATGTCAAGAAGTTGGGGCCAGTCTTTTTTCAGTGGTGCCCAGGGACAGGACAAGAGGAAATGGGCACCAACTTGAATAAGAAGTTTCACCTAAAGATGAGGAGCAACTTCTTTCCTGTGAGGGTGGCAGAGCCCTGGCAGAGGCTGCCCAGGGAGGTGGTGGAGTCTCCTTCTCTGGAGACATTCAGACCCCACCTGGACACGTTCCTGTGCAACCTGCTCTGGCAGGGGGGTTGGACTAGATGATCTCCAGAGGTCCCTTCTAACTCCATATCATTCTGTGGTTCTGAGGAATATTTCTAGGTTGTCACTTATGCATGTGCTGAGGGAATCGTGATGTCAGTGGGACTGTGAGCAAATGCCCATGTCACTTTCTGCAGTCCTTTGGTATTTCCTTGTGTAATTAATTCTTTTGTGAAAAACAGATGTTGGAGTAGCTATTTTGTGCACCTTCTGTTTGTGATGTCATAGTTGTAATTGTTCAAAATTATTAGTAATGTGGTACGCCTGAGAAATTTCAAGACGCCAGACTCTTTAAGGGCGTAAGAAATGTCATCAATTAAGAAACTAATGTCCTAAATTTTCTGAAGGATGGTCTGGCAGGGGCGTGGCTTGGGGAGTGGGAATAAATGATGCCTGAAAGCTACTGCTTCAGACTTCTTGCCATCCCTGGGACGTTGTACTGTTGGACCACTATTCTGAACCTACAGCATTGAATTGGAAACTGCAGGCGCTCAGTGTATCCAGCCTGTGTATAGTGTACCCGGTGGCTGTGTAGGTGCACTTGTGAGTACAGTGAAATTTCCTGCTCTTTCTCCTCGCCCTCCCTCCCCTCTCCCCCCATAAAATTAAGATCCATGCTGACCTTTGCTTCAGAACGCTCCCCCAGATGCAAGGACCGTGTATAGTGCACTTCTGCATATGGCTTTCGTGTTGTGCTTGTTGCTTTCCACTTGCCCAAGAAACCTGTAGCATGCTGGCATGCAGTTTCTCAGGGCACTTAAATCCTCATAAAGAGTATCTTGCTGTTCTCTGCCATGTTTATGAGGAAACTCATTGACAAGTACCAGTGGGAAATTCCAGCTCTTCTTTCTGGTTATTAAACAGTTCCCATTGCTGAAGCTTCTGACCATCTCTTAGTTTTTCCATGTTCATTCTTTTGACTGTTAGTACACGAGGAAAACGATATTGTCCCCATTTTACGGAGAGCAAAAGTCTCTATTTTAATAGGCTAAATTCTCCGTAGTCTTTGTACCTTGCAATTGATGAAGACTCAAAGCCAGCAAGTAATGAAAACGAAGCAAAGATGGAGTTAGGGTTGTGTAATTTCTGGGACTGAATAACTTGCCAGTAGTCACAGAGGAAGTCTGTGGTCCAGCAAGGAACTGAATATATGTCTCTGACAAACATCCTTTTTACTGAACCATTCTCCTTCTCATCCAAATGTCCCAGCTTTCATTGAACTGGCAGCAGAGGTTTTACACCACTGAAGCTTTTCTGTCCCCGAATCAAGCATCGGGTAAAACTTTGTTGCTTGCTGATGAATAAGACACTGAATAATGTTAGTGGTCTTGAGAATTCATAGCTCACTGTGCAAAATAACCAGAAATTGCAGCCACATATCAAAATATTTAATT